GCATGCATATGAGGTAAATGAAAATACCATGGCTTTGCGGGGTTTTGTGTTGATGAAAAAAATCTAGTAGAAAGGGGGGGAAAATAATGATCTAGGAAAGGGAGAGGATATTTAAAAGTGGAAAATCTCTAAGGGAATTGAAAAGGGAGAGTATCTAGTCTGCATAGGTGAAAAAGTTGACTTTTAATAGGAGCAGGATATGAAGAAATGAAAGAAAATATGTGCATATAGATATGGAAAGGTTGGTAGACTTGGTAATGGGAAGTTACTTTCTGAATTCTTCTATTTGCTCAGTAATATACGAACCAAGAAAGCTGAGCATGAGTAAAGGGAAGGCAGTCTGGAAGCTTGAGGAGAGATAAAGTATGAAACAATTGTTGCTGAATGGCAACTTTGCTCTTCCTACATGCCCTTACTTCTTAAATTAATCTAGACTGCTTTATATTGTAAGCTTTTAGAGGGCAGACGTTATGCTTCCCTTGTTTGGTCTGTATGCAGAAAAGAGCCATGCACAAGGAAGAGATACCAAAGATATAAAAGAGCTGTTGCTCTGATGCTGGACAGGTTTGCCTAATAGAAGTCTTAGTGGAGGAATGGAAAAATGTGTGATCATGTTGATTAATTATGAAACAGTATGTTATATTTTTGGCCTGAAGAAATAGAAGTATAAACAGTTTATACCATCCATTCAAAGAACTAAACAAGCATATACTGATCATGTGCTATCTTTTTAATCCTCTAAGAGTTCTATGATGTTATAATCATTACTTATATTTAAGTCACTTAGTTATCTAGTGCTGCTGTAATAGAAATACAAGTAGATGGCTTTAACAAAAAGAAGTTTATTCTCTCACAGTCTAAGAGGTTAGAAGTCCTAATACAGGGTGTCAGCTTCAGGGGCAAGCTTTCTTTCTCTGTCACCTCTGAGGGAAGGTCCTTGTCATCAATCTTCCCTTGGATCTAGGAGTTTCTCAGTGCAGGAGACTCGGGTCCAAAGATGCTCTCCTCTCTGGGCTCTTCTTTCTTGGTTGTTTGGGGTCCCTCTCCTCTCTGTCCGATTCTCTTTTTTATATCTCAAAAGAGATTGACTCAAGATACAACCTAATCCCGTAGGTTGAGTTCTGCCTCATTAACCTGTCTCTAATCTTGCCTCATTAACATCAGAGTAGGATCTACGACACATAGGAAAATCACATCAGATCACAAAATGGTGGACAACCACACGATACTGAGAACCATGGCCTAGCCAAGTTGACACACATTTTAGGGGGACACACTTCAATCTATAACAGTCACACTGACAAAGTGAGACCTGAATTTTCCAGTCACATAATTAAGTTTACTTCTCTGTACTACCATTTAGCTTGTTTTCTATTTTATAATAAAGCAAATTAATCTTACTAAGGTAAAAAATCCAAATACAACTATTGTGGTTTTTATAACTTCATTAAACTTTTTTCCTCAACTACTAAAGAGAATGTTTATCTATGTCAGTTTCCTGATTATTCTCCCTGAACTTAGGTGTGGCCAACCTATACTGCTAGCAGCATTCTACATACCTGTCTAATTAGAGACCTTCAAAAACAAATGCACATTTCAAGTATCACCTTGTCAAGTATTTCCTTCACCTATTTTAAGGGTTATATTTGTTCCTTGTATACATAAATAATATAGTATTATAATTTAATTGAGATTATCTAACCAAACTTCAATAGACCCAGAGGTAAGACTAAAACAACAAACATTTGAAAATGTTGTCTATAATTCTATTTAGTTTCATTTACTTGTGATGTTTAACTTAAGCTATACTTTTTTTTAACACTCATTTAAAGAAACCTAATAATCAACTAGGAGTCTCTGGGTGGTGCAAACAGTTAAGTGCTCTACTACTAGCAGAAAGGTTGGCGGTTCAAATCCAACCAGAGGTGTCTCAGAATACAGGCCTGATGATCTGCTTCTAGAAAATCACAGCCTCGAAACCCCTATGGAGCAGTTCTACTCTGGACACGTGAGGTCGCCATGAGTTGGAATAGACTCAATGACAACTAACAACAATAACAATAATCAACTAATTGTGTATGATAATTTCATGTTTTGTTGTACAGTTTTCCTACCACTGGGTCATCTGATAACACCTCTCTAACAAATAAGGGCCTTCTTAAAAATAATTGTTGGGAATACTGGCACTGCAAGTTTCTAAAAGATTTCCAGATGCACAGTTCTCCTGGATGTCAGCATAATTCCATTTTTCCAGTCTCTTGGACTAGATGCAGTTGATGCTTTTTTTTTTTTAAATAAGGCAGTACACATTGAGCAAACATTTACCCATTACAGCATTTAATAAATTGTATTGTAATTGCTAATTTTCTTGTCTTTATCCCCCTCTAGATTATAAGCTCTGTGAGATCTGAGACTGTGTTCATCTATTCATCTCCTCAACCCAGCATAACGTAAGAGTCCAGTAAATCATATGCTGAATCAGTGAAAGTTCCAGCACCTTGAAGATGGTTATGAAGTACTCTACAGCAATGCCACTTACCTGTGAGATCCAGAGTTCTGTCCACAAAGACCACTGATGCCCTGCCTGAAGCAGTTTTTCTCCTGTTCTTGGCAGGGGCATAATTGGCTAGATCTGAAGCGATGATCCGACTGAACGAGCCCACAGTAAAACACTCCTCCCGTACCCCTAAGTGCTCACACAGAGAACTGAGGCCTGACACCAGGCACCTGATCTGCAGCAGCAGCTCAGGGGTCAGGGCAGTGGCATCCACCTCAGCCAGGCTTCCCATCCTCCTCTTGTCCGGTCGAGCACTGTTAAGGAGATGCACATCCTGGGGTAGCAGTGGGAAAAGGGAAGCAAAGGATGGAGTCAAGGCAAGGTAGGGAGCAACAGGGGCGAGCAACAAGGGGGCGTGCAGCACCTCGGCCGTGTAGTTCAGGTTGCCCATCCACTCACACAGTTTCTCCTCCAACTGCTCGAACACTGGCTGCTGCCCCTCCAGCTCGGCTGCTGCCGCCGCTGGTACGTGGTTAGCTGTGAGGTGGACAGCATGGCTCACGGCCGTGACCACTACACAATACTGGAAATGACTGCGGCGGATGATGTCCCGTAGAGTCTCCACAGTCCGGCCTTTCAGCAGGCAGCTCAACACAAACACTGCCTTGGGCTGCTCTGCTCCGCCGCCAGCCGCATCTGGCTCAAACTCCCGCAGGTGACACGCAGGACTCCCCACTGCCTCCAGGAGTCGTGTGGATCCACAGCCCCAGTGCAGGCTCTCGGCGCAAGCGGCGTCCAAGTAGACCAGAGCCCGTTTCATTTTGGCTAGCACCTGCTCCCAAACTTGCTGGGTAAAGGACAGCACGCCCGGGGCGCTCATGGTTGGCGATCCGCGGACACGGGGGCACTCAGGTACAGAAACTTATCTCAGAACTCACCGCTTCCGGGAATTGGGCTTTCTGAGACTTTGACAGTCAACACAGAACACGTGGTCCAGGCCCTGACGAGTGCGTTTGCAGCGCACGATGATGACGTAAAAGGGAGCGATGATTGGCTAGTGAGCAGGCCCGGGCTCTGGAAAAGATGAGCAGGGTTGGAAGGAGAAGTGGGTGTGGCTCCGCTGTTCTGTGTTAACCTTGAAGGCTAGGGGAAAAGAGTAGGGGCTGCTAAGAAAATAGCTGAACTGCGTTCTTTTCTTCTCCCTGTCTGCTAAAATCGCCTGTCCCTGCTCCCTGTGAAATCTCAGGAATAATAAAACCTAATCCAAAATTTGATCTTTCTGGAATATGAACACATCTCTAAAAGTACAGCCTCTTTCTCCATCTAAATTAAGAGCAGCCGGAGAAGATAATAAAAACAACCAGCTGTTGTGTAATGTTTTGTAGTTTGTAGTTTATAGATTGCTTTTACATATATTATCGTACACAAGCCTCATTAGAATCCTGTTGCTTCACCAAATCCTGTTCTGCTTCAAAACTCCTGGAATCTAGCCCCTCTTCATCCCTCCTGCCGCTACCTTGTTCCAGCCCACCATCATCACTCCCTCAGACAATTTCAAAAAAATCAAAACCAAACCCGTTGCCGTTGAGTCGATTCATAGCGACCCTATAGGGTTTCCAAGAAGTGCTGGGGATTTGAGTTGCTGACCTTTTGGTTAGCAGCCGAGCTCTTAACCACTGCACCACCAGGGCTCCAGACAATTGCAATAATCCCTCATCAATTGCCCTACTTCCGTATCTTTTCTCTCCAATCATCTTCCTAATAAATTAAGATGTTCCTACCATTTTTCTCGGAAACTCTGGTGGCCTAGTGGTTAAGAACTATGGCTGCTAACCAAGAGGTTGGCACTTTGAATCCACCAGGCGCTCCTAGGAAACCCTACGGGGCAGTTCTACCCTGTCCTATAGGCTCACTATGAGTCTGAATCAACTCGACGGCAACGGGTTTTTCGGGTTACTATTTTCGCGCTTAATAGCTTCTCCTGGCCTATTGTCGACAGGACTCGTTAAAAAGCCACAAAAGTCCGTCATGATTTCTCAATTTCTTTCCAGCTACTCCCGAGCTGGAACATTATGTACTTGAAAAATACCAACAAAATCAAACCAAACCTGTTGCTGCGGAACCGATTCCGATTCATAGCGACCCTACAGAATACAGAACTGCCCCCATAGGGTTCCAAAGCTGTAATCTTTATGGAAGCAGACTGCCACATCTTTCTTCCACGGAGCGGCTGGTGGGTTCCAACAGATAACCTTTTAGTTAGCAGCCAAGCACTTAACCACTGCACCACAAGGGCTCCTTACTTGAATAATACACGAAATATATCGAGCATGGAATGCTCCATATGTTCATTCAAGCAATATTTACTAAGCATTTACAAAGTATAATCACTATGTGAGGCTCAAAAGATAAAATGATTAATAAAATACATTCCCTGATGCATAAAGTATTTACACCTGACCAGCCGTAGCTCTTAACCACTGCACCACCAGGGCTCCAGACAAACTTGTACTCACCCAATGATAGTAATTCCAGTGACATCTTCCATGTAAGGGTTTTCCTAACTCGCTACCACCATGCCTCAGACCACCATCCCCCCCACCACACACACACACACACACACACACACACACACACACACACACGGCACCCTGCTCATACTTCTGCTGAGTACCTGTCATATCATGGTAAGTTTAACATATCTGTTCTACCACATCGTGCACTAGAGGCCTAGGATCCCCAACATCTAGAATTTAACAGGTGTTCAATAAATGTTTGTTGAATGTTTGATTCATTTTCATATAATAAACATATATTCAATCACCTTTTAATGAACATGTACAATATTCCAGGCACTGTGTAGGGCACTAGGGATATAAAGAGAAATAAACCAAAGCCCTACCGTCAAATGAATTACATGATGAAGTAGGAGGATCCACACACGTAAAGCAAACAAATGCAATAAATTGCTACATAAGCAATAATTTTTTTAAAATAGATATATATGAGTTACAAAGGAGGAAACAAATTCTGACTGGGTAAAGGAAAAAGGGAAGTGGTCAGAAGAAGTTTCATAGAGGAGATGATTTTTGAGTTGCTTCAAAGAAAACCAGATGTTTGCTAGGTGGACAGGATGGGGAGGGGCATTCCAGGAAGTCCAGGCAGAGTGCAGCATGAACAAAGGCGCAGAGGCATGAAGTAGCACGTGTTCTTCGGGATAATAAACAGTTAAATGTGACTGGAATGTATTATATGAAAACAGGCCCAAGAAGAAATAGCGACAAAGAACTGAAAACGAAGGTGAGAGATTAGATTAGGATGAGTCTTATTTTCCAAACTAAGTAGTAATAGCAAATGGGGAGCTATTAAAGGATTTTTAGGAGTGGAGATAATTTGTTCATATCTGAGTTTCATAAAAAAAGATACTGATAGAAACATGGAAAATTATTTGAAGAGGAGCAAGATTTCAGGCAGGGAGACCAGTTAGGAAACAGTAACAGCAACAACTCTGGATGAAAGTTGATAAGGATAATAATAAAGGGGGTGTACAGAGTGGAGTGTATAGAAGAGATGTTAAAATGATAGAGCCTAAAGGACTTGGTTACTGGTTTGATAAGGAGAGTGAGGCAGATGGAGAATTTCAGGATAATGCCCCGCTTTCTGGCTAGGTGACTGATAAATGAAGTGGCTGAAATTTGGAAAATCAGAAGAGAAGCATATTGGAGGATAAATATACTGAGTTCAGTTGAGACATGTTGTTTTGAAGGTACTTGTGATACATGAAAAAAAGTCTAGTAGGCAGTTGGATATATGTATGATTCAGGATTGCAAGAGAGAAGGCTGGTAATTCAGGAATCATTAGCAAATAGGTGTGCTTGAGATTGCTCAAGGAGAGCATGAAGAAGAGAAAATACACTGGGTAACAGGCAAAGCTCTGAGGAAGAGCAATATTTCTGAGTGGGCAGAGGACATGAAGCCAGTGAGTGGAGTCCTAAAGGAAAGAATTTTAAAGAGGAATGGAATGGTCAACAATAACAACTGCCAGATAAGGGAAAAATTAGATGGAATCTGAAAAGAATCCATAGGATTTGAAAATTAGAAGCTAACAGTGCTCTTTGCCAAGGCAGTTTTAGTGTAGTGATGGTGGAGAAAACCTGAGAGCATTAGGCTGAATGGTGCATAGGAGGTGAAGATGTGACATCATATTTTTAAAGTATTCTTTTTATGATACTGGTTGGAAAATAAAGGGAAAAAATTGTGACTTTGTTGAAGAAATTTTTTTTTAAATGAGAGAAACTTAAGCATATTCATAATGTTTGCAAAGCAACAGAGACAGAGGCTGATAAAAGTGAGAAACAGCAACAGAAGCAGGCGGAAGTTCTGATGAAAAGCACAAGTGGAGGAATTAAACCAGAATAGGAAAAATAAAAAGTGGAAAAGATGAGAGAAAACTTAGAAAAGCATATAGGTATGGGGGTGGAAGGTAAAGGGACTCACTCAAATAGTCTGCATTTTCCTTGTGAACTAGAGACAAATAGAGAACTGGAGATAGTGTTTTGAGGTAGTTGGCTTAAGAAGAGGTGACAGTCAGGAGTAGCCATTGGAAAGAATGAGAGAAGGAAGTGACTGAGACCCTTAAAAGGTTTAGTAAGCAGTACAACTGGGCAGAGCTGATGTTGGTGACCATGGCTTTCTTGTGGCACCACCTGCCCAACTGCATGTTTCCTTCAGCAGCATCAGCAGGAGGATGCAGGTGAAGGTAAGACAGGTACATGAGGTTATCCTAAATGGATATGGCAAAGTGACAAGAAGCTGAGGTCAAGGACTGGATAGAGTGATGCACCACTGGTTCCAGGCTGAACGACTGCAGGGAGAAAGTGTAGACATAAAGGAGGAGGTCTGGCAACATGGAATGAGGCAATGAATTGGGGAAAAAAGTAGGCTTCTTGGTACTATAAGATTGGAGAAAAGAGGGTAGGGAAGTGGGGAAAATGAGAAAGTTGTAATAATATGAAGTTAGGGTCAAAGAGAAGTAGCTGGCCTTTAAATTTCGAGAAAGAAACAGCTTTAGGATATAGTAATATTGAGAATGTGGTCCTGAATGTGGACTGCCGAAATGGAGTGAACGAAGGTTCTTGAATAATTAGACTCCTGGAGATCAAAAAACATATGAGGCAAACAGGATGTGCAAGTTGCTCATTATGGTGCTGGAGTGGTAGAGGAAAGCAAGACTGTGGACCAGACCCCAATGCCATCTGTGATGGAGGGGAAATGAAGACGGAGGGGTAAACGTGGTAAACGTGGTAAACGTGGATGATATGAGGGTTTTCACAGGAAAATGGAACCATAAAGGTCTGTAAGTGGCACTTGAGTGAGAGAGAAGTAAGAATTCTATCTCCAGGCTACATAATACAATAGGGTGAGGGATAATTGTGGGCATCTAGTATACAAAGATGAGGAGAAGTGCTATCGTTTGAGGAAAGTTAGAGTTAAGTTAAGGGAACAAGTAGAGCTATCCTTCTGGTAAAGTACTGAGGATATTGGATATTTTTATAAAATAGAACAAAGGGAGGTACTGAAAGTTAAATGCAGAGTTGGGAATCAGGCCTGCAAGATCTTGGAGGGAATAAGCACAGAGTATATAAAGGAATAACATTAAAAGAGTAGACAAAAAGTAAATAAAACATAAGAATGAGGGGAGACAGAGAACTCCATGAAGTTGTGCAATGCACAACCTGTATAATTGTCTGCATCTGGAGAGGCTGCCAGGTCACATGGAAGGGAGTTTAGATATTATTCTGCATCTAACAGGAAGCCACTGGAGGGTTTCATGCTACTTAAATTGCATTGGTGGCAGTACAGATGGAGAGAAGCAGACAGATGTGGGATGTAGTTTGTAGGAATAGCTAACAAGCTTTGCTGATGGATTTGGATAGGTGTGGAAAGGGAAGATTGGAGAGAGGAATCAAGGATGCTTCTTTGGTTTGAGCTGGAATAACCAGTTCGATGATGGTTACTGCTGTTAAA